GAGTGCGCATAGCATGTTCTCACAAAAATGTGAAGAAAACAGGAAAACAGCTAAATTGACGAAGATACTCGTCACCATTGTCCTCTAATCGATGACAAAAATTCGAACAAATGCACGAGCATCTTCGTGATACTTATGGCGATGACTTAATAGATATGACCTTAATAGATATGAATACTACCTGAATGACTTCTTGAGTGAGATAGAAAACGTATCTTTATCAACGTAACATTCTTGCCGAAATTGAAGCAGCATTGGAAAAAACTTCCAAGAGTGAAGAGGGCAAGTCATCATGCGGATCGTCCCTGACTCCAGGGACCATGTTACCACGAAAAAAAAAAAAAAGAATTTCTCCAGGCGGTACGATACGAGAATTGGCCTACATATCGTAATCTGTTGTCTTTTTATCACTGATCATTCAGGCTGCATCACTTTTTGATGTTACTAGGATGCATTATTTAAAAACTAATTTGAAAGATGAACTAAAACTTATTGTCAAAGAGCTTCCAGCGATGAACGAAAATTTCACCCTAATATGAGAGTTGCTCAAGCGGAACTATGAGAACACGTGACTCTTGATTCGTTCTTTTTACACAATCTGTCCAAACTTAAAAGTCAGCCATGGAGCTGCAGAAGCTGTTTCTCTGTGCAAAAAATACCGCTGGATCGCTCAAAACCATCGGCCGTTCCATCCATAGCAGCGAAGATATGTTCATCTCCTGGATTACAGAACTTTTCGAGCACTCGCAGCAAATGGGAAGAGCACTTTGGCGGAACAAAGTGACTGAGCCACCTTTCTTTGATTAACTACAACAATTTCTGGAACAGCGGATTTACGCTTTAGAGATACTTCAACCGAGCAAGCCTGAGAATCAACAAATGAGATATCGACTGGGAAGTCGGCTTCAAACCGTGCGACAATGAAGAAGCAGGGGCACCAGAAAACTTGCTGCGCATTTTGTAAGGAAGATTACTATGTGCTACATTGTAAAGAGTTCAAGAAGAACTGGCTAAGAAGGAGTTCGTTGACATTAAAACAAGTTATGCATCAATTGGTTTGGAAAGCATCAACTGTCTGAGTGTCAATCTCGGAAGTCATATACCGCTTGTGACGTGTTTCGTGTCGCTGCGATCTGAGGGCGATTCTGTATCTTCAAAACAAGGTAAAAATTACAAAAGCAAATTTACTAGGTGTTGAATGAAATTATCATTATTCTAGTAAATTCGCTTATTTTTATAATTTCCATCAATTTAAGATGCAGAATCGATCTGAGTGTTGTGATATAAATGTTTTATTTTTGAACGTAAGACTGAAATTCATAATATTTAACATAAACGGTCTTGTTTCCAATCTTATTGTTTAAATAGATATCTATTCCATTTGTAGAATACTAGGAGAAGACTTTAATTTCGCTTATTCAGCAGCTGGCATCACAAACATGATGCTAGAAGTGCAAATGCAGGACTTCGAAAATGACGAGAATTCTTATCTGTATATTCAGTATGTTTTGTTCCCGCCACATTTTATGCCGAATGCGATATTAGAATGCGATAGCGGTACTGAAGATGACACGGAAGAAGATATATACAGGAGTATATATACTTGGCGAAAACGTCCGACTAAAAAGAAGCGAGAGTGAGCCTACCACTTTTGGCCGCTGAGAGGGTGGAATACCTTCTCTGTTGGCAAGAAAACAGAGTAAGGACCATAATTAGTAAATATTTACATACATGATATTAGACTTTTCTATCGTAATGATTAATAATCCGATCACAACATGGTTAAGTTAAAGTTAGGTTATTATATATTCATTTGCATCACATGGTCAATCGCAACGTGGTCATTTGCATCTCGTGGTCATTTGCAACTCGTGGTCAATCGCAATGTGATCATTTGCAACTCGTGGTCAACCGTAACATGGTTATTTGCATCGCATGATCAAATACAATGTGGATATTTGCAACACGTGGTCAATGCAACTTTGCCATTTGCAACGTGACCAATTACAACGTGGTCAATCGCAACATGGTCAATTGGGATGTTGGTCAAATGAAACGTGATCAACTGAAACTCCCGTTATCAACCTCAATTGTTCATTTTACTGGAATTTAATGAACAATCTCAATAACAAGATGTATTCGACCATATTAACTCTCGTATATTTTATTCTTCAATAAGAATATAAAGATATATTAGAATGCATTGTATAAAGATAATATCATTTGAATTATATTTTTTATTTAATTTGGGATTTAACTTGGCGCCTGTCGTTGATATCTTTGATATAGATGGTATACATCATTAGAATTGAATAAATAATAAATAAAGATGCAAATACAATTTTATGATGTTACAAAAATACGTATCACTTAATTTTCATCATACTCGTATATATTATAGATTAATGATGATAATTTACTTGGAATCTAGATCTCATTATTTAATTTTGTACAACAGATTTTTCAAGGTTCACATATGATTTGGATTGAATGAGGTAATAATTTTTAAAGATTATATTTTAGCGCCCATTATTGATATTAAATCTTTTATATATCTGATACGTATCACTCAAATTAAGAATTGTTATGGGATTTTAACTTGATGGCAATTATACAAAAATATGTATTTATGTTTTAATTTTTTTAAAGATATATTTAAGTTATAATTCTTAATTTGGTACACATGCTTTTTATTTGATTTATATCTGTAGTTGATTGGCAGTTGACACCCCTTCCTTAATACATTACATTTAAAAAATTACTTTTTTTAAATATAATGTATTTTGTAGTGTGTTAATTCATATTGTTTGAATTGAAAATACAACTTCGTAATATTACAAATCATTTAAATTTAAATTTTAATTTGGTACACCAGTTTTTTGTTTGATGTATATGTACAATTTACACTTTTTTACCTTTTTTTAAAAAAATAGTTTTTTAATCACGTATTAAAGCATACAGTGCAAGCTTAATTCACAACTTTTTAATTAAAATTGTAACTCATAATGTTGTGGAAATAAGTTTATAGTTTATTAAATAATTATTTGATTAATGATTGTAATTAATAATTAATGTCTTACTAATTACGAATTATAATTTTTATGTATAATACCTGTTCGAGATAATATTATTCCGCGGATGTAGGGAAGACTGGGGCTAATAGACTCATTTTTCAGTTTCGAATTTTTACAGACGAAATTAAAAGACTTATAAAAAAAAAATGAATTCTACACCAGTTACTACATACATATGACTACCTAATAATATTTTAATAATAAAAGGAAACTAATAACTAATATTTAAAAAATGCGTTTTTCTAATGCATCTGATTCAACTAGTCCTGGGACCGGGGTAATTCGACTAAGATTATTAAAATAAAGATTAATGTATTTTAAGCTACATCTTTGACTACATATTAATAAAATTTTTATAAAAGTATGTTTTAAACACAAACATTCGCTTCGCAGGACCAAACAATACTTCTTTCTGCAAAATTTGTTCATTTCGTGCAAAAACACGTCGAACAAGCCTAGTTTTCGAGATTGGACATGAGGGAACTAAACTTATAACATTTACCACTGAGGAAAATCTTTTTAAAGGAATAAAATTTTGAGTAAATACTAGTCGTTACTAAATAAGTCATACAGTTCCATGCTGTGGTTAGTCTACTATCCCCATCCGTAACAATATTCGATAACAAAGACACATAAACAAAAAAAAATCTGTTGGACTTCATTAAGTAAGAATTACATTTATTATCTAAGTAGAAATCAAATATTTCAGACAATCATATACGATTGTAAAATAAAAACTTTAAGAATAAAAATATTTACTTAGGTATACGATTTCTTAAAATTGTGGTATAACTTCTATCATATCAGATGTGTTCGCAACAAGATGTTACAGCAGACTTAGCGACTCTAACGCTGCTGCGTGCTCAGACACGTTTACGCATGTCTCGCGTGTTTTGTTTTCAATGTAGCCTAAATTGTTCTACTTATCCCTATATTCAACTGACCCCGATCTCCCCTACTCCGAAATTTATCGAGTGCGCGCAGCCTTTCCGCGCACATTCACGCGAGTGTGATCGATGCGTGATCAGTATGCGACAAGAATCTAATCACTTTTTCTTGTTCGAACCACGCGAATAATATCATATTTTTTCTGAATTTTGCTTGTGAGGTGATCGATGCACTATGCGTTCGCGATCGCGATTGTGATGTTGCTTCGCTGCAACATTATCCGTCGTCAAGACGGACAAGATTTCCTTTCGCGAGGTGGACTGTTGTCTGCCAATTAGCAAGATTTCTGTACGCGAGCCTTACGCAGCATTCGCGTCACAATTCAAGATCTGCACTCCGAGTTCGACGACAGGCGCCAGCGCCATTGTCACGTGGTAAGAAATGTTCGAGATTCGTGCGATTAATTCTTCCTCCTTAAAGTATAATTTCTTAATAAAATAAATCTGGTCGTTAATGATAACTTAATCGTTTCGTCGACATTCTTTAACTCCCTATGAGATCCGTTCGGACTCCAGTTGAAGCCGATTAAGCGTTCGTTGAGTACGTACGGTTAATTTAGATCCGATAATGAATAATATCATTATGTAATTAATAGTCATTAATTAAAGAAAGTTAGCTGAGAACATACAATAGCTTTTTTAAAATAAACTGTTCCACTTGGAGTCGCTGCAGCTGGCTATCCATTAGAATTACAAAAATATAATTTGAACACAAGTTATGGGAAACATTTTCCTCTACAAGATTGGTTATGTCTATTTTTATCACAGGACTCATTGATACTGCGAAAGAATATTTGAACGTTAATTTGCCGATTTTAGCGGCATGAAAGCTGACCCGCCGTATTGGAAAACTTAAAATTTTCAACAGAACACCAAACTATAAGATATATCCAAAAATTATTACTGTCGGGCTTTTTGCGAACATCCTTTTTACGTTTATATTGTCCAGTGAAAGAAACATTTATTATTTTCATTCTAGGTCAATGGCAAGGATGTCGCGAACAAGGAGCAGACTGAGAATCTGTTCGCCGAAACGAAAAATGCAGTGACTATTCTCGTCAGTCGATGTGTATATCAAGTTCGTTTTCATCCTTATTATTACAATGTTTAAATTTAACACAAAATTTAATAAACATAAAAATATTGAATATGAAATAGAAAATACAAAGAAAATTTTACGAGATTTAAAAGCATTTCAGAACATTATGTTTCCTTTTTGAGCAAAATATTTAACTTTAGTGTAATATAGATTGATTATGATACTTCCAAAAAATAACTACACTTTTCTTACATAAATAAAAGGAACAAAAAATATTTTATACATTATTAATTTACTTTTCTTATTTTAGGACGATGAATACGATGATAGACACATCTATCATCAGGTGAGTCAAATTACATAAAGCAACAAAAAAGCAACCTATGTTTGCGCGTGGTATAGACATCTATTTATCATGAATCATGATTTTACTTCAGGATTCGCCATCGCTTTCGCTCCAAAACCTACCAGCATATCAGAATAGTATGATCGAACAACTGATCCAGCAACAGCAACAACAAACGGAGGAACGTATTAAAAACAGTGAGGTAGACAATTGCATCTTGAAAGCGCCTCCACCCATACCATCTCATACTCAGCAACAACAGCAACAACCACAGCAGCAGCAACTGCCGCTATCGCAACAACAGCAATCTGTTAATAACTTTTCTACAAATTTATCATCCACGTGCTCATCGCAGAGCTCACACAAATCCGCGGGCAAGAACGCGACCTTGCCAGAGCATCGTACAGAAGAATGCAATAAGCAATGGATGCAGGAATCGCTGAAGGATTGTTTAAAGAGACTCGAGGATATATCTCTGTGTGATCAGCAATCGAGTCCACTAGAGGCAACACCGTTATCAGTGAAGCTCATTGGGGCGTACTCGAGTCACGTGTGGAGTGATTCCGAGCACATCTATGAAACAATTCCAGAATCAGATAGCGAGCCAATCTACTCATCGCCATACGAGCACCGTCAACAACATTGGACGCAACAAACAAATCATCCCATGACAACGCAACATAACGGAACTGTACAGAACTATTTGACCAGCGGTCAGCAAAATCAGAAATGGCATTCTTCCTCAAAGAGCAACAGTTCCGGCGAAGAAAAAGATAGCTCAAGCGCTTATAACACCGGTGAATCCTGTCATAGTAATCCTTTAACTTTGGAGCTGCATGAGGGTGAGAAGGATCATTATAAGAGCACACTGGTATTATGCTCGCCGAAGATGCCACAGCAGCAGAAAATCGGTTGCAATTGTCCCATGCTAGTGACGCCAACCGCAACGTTCGCAATGACAAAACAATCATCAAAAATTCAAAATATAAAGAAGAACTCATCGTCGTCGCATCATCACAGAGATCGCAACGAACCTTCGTCGATGAACATCAACACTATGGCAGCTGATACTATGTACACGAACGTGGCAAATTTACAACAAACAATGATGCTTCAACAGCAACTATTCAAACAAGCACTCAATCGCAAAAACTTCATGACATCTAAAGAGATGTTTACAAGTGGTGTGAAGAAACCCAAGTCGTATGATAATTTTCAAGCTCCAAATCTCACACAATATCAGTTCGTTGGTAGTCAACAAGTATGCACGTCTACTACTTGGATACCAACAGAAGATAAAAGCGAGGTGCAAATGGAATGGAAAGTGAAGAGGAGAGCGGACGGGACGAGGTACATTGCCAGACGGCCAGTCAGGAATCGGATACTTCGGAACAGAGCAATCAAGATAACAGAAGAAAGAGCCGGTCACACCACCGAAGACGATACTATGTCGGAAATGAAGGTAAATACCAATTGATAATAATCGATTTGAGTCTTTTTCCGAGCAAAATTTGAAAATAGTAAAGTTTTATTTCTTCAAATTTTACACGTTTTAAATATAATCGATACAATACAAAAATCTTTAAGTATCATTACTCTTACTGAGGGAAAAAAAAGGTTGGATATATTAGGAGTGTGATTTAGTTTTGAGGAGTTTTTTCTTAACAATGATTCATTTAAACAACATATCACGTAAATAATTGTTATATGATCAACATTTAATTTTCTAGTTTTAAAGTGGATCGTGTTGGATTTTCGTTTAATAATGCTTGCAAATCTGGATTTTCCAACTTTTGTCGTTAATATTGAAAATCGACTTCGACAGAATCAATATTTACATGTCTTAATTGATGGAGCAACATCATCATAAATTTCTATCAGAATTCTATAACCTTCAGCCGCCGTTTCTTCTAATTAAAAATAAAAGCAACACATATCGAAAATACTTTTTAGGAAGATCCATTTTTTAAATGGTGTAAACATGATGTTTACTGCGTCTATTATTAGTAAACGATTAAATATCATGGAGTAATATTAAAGTATTAAGAAATAATAGCTGTGATTAGAATGTTTTCGACAACACTGATATTAATGATCTCTTAGAAAACCTTCAAAACTAAATCACACTCCTAATATCGCTGAACATATAAAAGAAAGCAGGTAATTTGTTGCAAATAGAGTAGTTTGTCTGTAACACAAAATTATTTTTTGTTTGTGCGGAATCACTATTAATATAATATCTTTTCTTTTTTAAATACATTGCAACTGGCTGCTTTATCAAAAGCCAAAATTAAATGAATGATATTTTATAAAAATAACAATTTTTTTATTCATACTTTTTTTTAATTATAAAAACATAGTGTACAATATAATTATAAAACATAGTGTACACTCCTTTACGTATAATATGTATATCATAAAAATATTTGACAGGTTTTAGGTTTAACACGCTGTTATTATTATTATTGTTGTTATTGTTATTATATAAAAGTTCTTATTTCAATAGTTGCTGCTATACTGACACTGTGATGATGGATTGTATTATATTTGTCTTTCACCCTATCTCGCTCAGTCAACGCAGTTGATGAAATGAATATCTACGGATCACGTATACATAGATGTTTTCGTTCATATTTGAAAAATGATTCTTCAGAACATAACTATATTATACATCATTGTTTTCAGCGTAAAATGTTCTTTAATTTGCGTTATATAAAAATTAAAAAATTTTTTTAAATAGGGATGGGAAATAAAATAAAGAAATAATTTTAAAAAATTTGATTATAGTTGTAAAGTACTCCATGAAACCATTCAATTTTCATTCTGAAAATTTTTTCCTCTCTCTTAGTATCTAATAGTTTCGACGATATTTGCTTCAAAAGAAAAAACCCATTTTTTTGAAGGAATGTTTCACCTCCTAAAATTATAATTCCGCGCGAACAAAAAATAGTTTTGTGTTACAAATAAAACTACTCTATTGCACACAAAGTTTCAAAATTTTTTGAATTTTTGAGTTGCTTAGCGTCCCTTGTCAGTCCCTTGTTAGAGCCGTCGTACATAAATTGACGTAAAGATATATAATAATAAACAACTTATTGTTAGTATAACCGTATAATGTGTGAATACACAATGAGTAAAAAGCAATGCCTGTACCAGCAATTAGATCTTAAGTGTGTTAAATAATTTTATGTGAATTTATATACCATGTTTGTAGTCTCTCAAATTGCGAACCGAGGTTTTTGCGAACTTATAAGGAACGTTTCACAACTATCCACTGATTTGATTTTCCATGAAATATGTTGTTAAATACAAAAATTTAAGAAACACATATTTTTTTATACGTGCGCTAACTCATGTTTAAGAAGTGAAACACTCTTTTGAAAAAAGACAGTATTTCCCTTTTGAGCCGAATATCATCGGAAGTATAAAAAATGGAAATTAAATTTTTAAATAAAATTTGTGAGTTTGCGGTTTCAAGAGTACTTTAAAGTTATTAAAAAAAAATTTTCTTAATTTTTTTGTTTAACAATATATTTCCATCACCTAAGTTTTTTCAAATTTTTCAAATTTTTTTAAACAAATTAAAGATTATTTTTTCCAAATTCAACCATGTATAGTAAAGTTATATAATATTATAACATAGCCGGTTCTAACTCACTATATGTGCGTATATGTGGTATGTATGTGTGAGTGAGGGGTCAGGAAGAGGAAAGTGCATCACAGACACTGGATCCGAGGGAAGAAGAAGCGCAGACTGTGTTAGAAAGGGAAGGAGGGTTTTGTTCCTTCTTTCTCTTTCTTATCTGTTGTTTTCTCTCTCCCATTCATTGTAGGATGCACTTCTCTTTGCCTCACCCATTGCGGTCCTATACTTACCATATTATTCGCACTTTCCAACTCTCACGTTTTCTTTTCTTCCTGCTCATAATTTCATTAAATAAATATGGTATTTTTATGACTATTTATGATATAATGTAGTTAAAACTAATTATAATATTTTAATTTTTAATACAATGAAAAAATAACGACAAAATACAAATGAGCGTTAGGAGTTAGCGCTGGATATTATTATATATTGAGCAATGTTAACTGATACCTATTAATATGTCACAAATTCAATTTTGTACGTTTCGGCTCAATATTTGAACCATCTTCAGCAATAAAAAATTACTGCTTATCACATTATAAAATCTATCGAACTGCGTCTCATACGATCGTAGTTCCGACCTCCAATAATGCTGTCGCAGTGGAAATATGGTGAGAAATAACCATCTTCAACATAATCTAATGTTGTGCCAATCAATTGTTTAGTTGAATGGCAGATAGTGAAACTCAAGCCCATCTCCAACAACGATCGCATCCAAGCATTGTCAACCCATTATAACAAATTTAAAAATCACGATGTCAAAGTTAGATTGAAAAATAATTTAAGTAAAAGAGAGTCATTCGTTGAGATGTTAGTCATATAATATCCCAAAATTTTTATTTTTTAATTTTTTAATTTAAATTAAAATATTAAATTTTATTAAATTTATAACATAAAAATTAATTTAAATTTTTAAATAATATACTACAAATGGCCGAGCCATTCTAATTATCGAACTATTATTAAACTATTATTAAACTGTTATTGAGTAGCTATCGAATACTTATTGAACTGTATACATACTATTACTGAACAGCTATCATTATTGATAGATTCTTAATTGGAGGGAAAGGGGGAAGACTCATTTCCACTCGCGAAAGAAAAAGAAGAACGTGCAGGTCTTGAAGTTACGTGATAAGTAGATGATGTTATAGAAGTAAGCGAAAAAAAAAATATTTTAGGATTGTGGAGGAAACTCAGAAAGAAATAAGGAATAGAATTATAATTTTTTATTATTCAATTTTTATTTGAATAATTTAATTAACTTATTTAAAGAAAAATCATGCGCCTTTTTATCATACATAATTCTAAACCGCTGAATAGAAGTAAAAGAAAAAGAGGATTGAAAATGATTTAAAAAATTGAGTAATATTATATTTAAGTATCACATTTTATACATTTTTTTAATAAAACATGAATTTATTTCTTACTTTAAGTGTATAGTGTACAGCGCAGTGTATACAATTTTATTTGAAGAACATATTACCAATTCGTACTTTATGATTGAAATTCTATCATAAACTTCATACAATTCTTTTAACGCATCGCATTTATTATTAATAAAATTTTGACGTATAATAGTCACAAATTATTGAAATGTACTTTCTTGCACGCGATTTTATTAAAAAGATACAGTAAGTACTTATTTTACGACTTTTATGGATTTTAACAATAGAACGAGCACAATTTTAATAATATTTTAATAATATAAGTCGATCAGCCGAACGCGCTTTCTTATTAAGTAATTTAATATTATGAACATGTAGAAGGAATGAAGAAGAGATTAGGGAAAAGATAATTTTTCAAAGCAATATATTTTTAATATAGATTTGTTTATTGTTTAATGCAGCATGTACAATATAATCTTTGGCATTTTGAGACGTGTTCGGAGTTCAAAGGATTTTCACGAAGGAGTTTTATAACAGTGGTAGCGATATAGAAATTATCGAAATTCAAAATCGTGTTAAGTTTTTTATTTAATTATCAAGTATCTACACATGTGTTATTTTTTCGGAATCTTACAATCGAATTCCTGGCTTTTCTACTCGCGAGAACGTTCGCTCATTCCATGCTCTGTCCCAGAATTTTCTCAATAAATGAAAATATTTCAGCAAGTCGTTACAATTTACCATTACCTTTATGTTATTCAAATAAGTTCATTCAAACCGCGAAAAATCATAATTCCTCTCCTTCTTGTCGTGTCTATCCGGTTCGGATGTAAGTTACCATCTGGGCTATCATCACTTTGTTGGCCGTCGCTCTGAATAGTCCCGAGATCGATCTCCCGAACCAAGTCCTCAAGTTTTTCAACCAGGATATCCGTTTCCTGTCCTCTTTTGCCATAGATCTTACCCTGGAGGATGCACTGCAGTAATTAATATCTAAACTCGTTTCGCATAATGCCTAGGTATTGCAGTTTGCATTTGACAGTTTTGGGTACTCTCTTTGTACATCCGACGCAGGTCATCCTTTGCGTTCAAGATACTCGCAGCATTCTGCGGTAGAGCCACATCTCAAAAGCTTCCAGGCTCTCCGTCGCTTCGGTTAAAGTCCGCGACTCAACTCCATAATAGAGGACCGAGAAGACGTAGCACCTCAGGAATCCGACCTTATTCATACTTATTGTAAATTGTGGCTTTTCAGGCCACTTCTGTTGAAGACGGCTCTGGACTTCTTTATCCAACATCTGATCTCCTGTGAGTGATCTCACTGGTCATTGATACATTGGTACCAAGATATGTGTATTTGTGGACTCTCTCAATATGATTCCCATTGATGTTCAGGTGGTCGTACGGGATATAATCTTACTGATATCA